AGACAAATAAAGAAGTAAACAATAACCCAAATGCCTATGGAAAGTGGGCAAGCCTCTTTACATATATTTGAGAAATGCAACTGTCCCTTTAACTTCCGTCTCAGTGCAAGTGATAACACTTGGCTTTAGGCCTACTAAATATTGTATATATCACTAAAAATGGCCTAAACTTCTTACTCTACATAATAACTATACACTTCAAGTCTAATGCCAGATATTGGTAGGAAATCACAATATCAAATAGAAATAATGCCGGTGATAACACCTGGCCGAACTTAATCCACTAGAATAAACCCTTAGTACCTGTTATAAGAGGTAAGAACGTTGACGCCAAATGAATGTTCCCGTCAAGCTATGAATCAGGGTGCAGAACCCGGTGCCAGTCAGGAGGCTACTGACTAGTCCTACGCGCGACCCCTATTTATAACCCTCAGGGATGCCAATTTGGCAGCCAGATGATGCCAAACTGCCAAATTGGCACCAGGAAGTTGCCAATTTAGACTACTCACTTTCGTGACGTCACGTGCAATTCCGCGAGTTGCCAATGCAATGCCAACAAAGAACTAGTTCCTTTATAAGCTGGATATCTATCTAATTTAACATAAATTTAGTAAACATTACCAATATAACAATCTCTAACCGATCCGGAACCGAATTGAAATAGTAACATTCCGGGTTTGGTTCCAACTAATACGATATCCGTACTGTACGCACTCAACCGTCAAGCAGCCTTCACCGATAGTTGACAGTGGGGCAAGTTTGACTGGTGCGACTACCTATACCTTTTACAGCTGAATTAAACTGTAAGTACATAAAATCATAATGCAATCAGACTTACTATATTCTACTGCATCTGTACATTTGTTCTTTTCATATTAATTCTAACAAGTAAACATGTAAACTTACGTAATGACTTAGACTAGCGTCTGGAAGATCGTCTATATAAGCAAGATGGCGGCGTCCATGACAATCAACGTAACCACAGCACCGTAAGCTGTTTAATCATGTTACAAAATCCTACGCTTGCATAGCATACAAAAGTAACAATGCAAAATATTAAGTACAATATCTAACAGTTCAAGATACACTAGAACTACACAATTATATAACTATCAAATATAACACAGACCAGTTGTTTCAGACATTATGTTTTCCTATAAGATGAGGACAATAATACTTGCACGTTTTACTAATGTAACAGCCTTCACTAACACTAGTGAAAATTAACCAGCTTTGTTACATCCAAGTAGAGTGGTCTTGGTTTAGTTTCGTACGCCACTTTTATTAATAAAATCGAAATTCTGCAATCAAAGTGGTGAATTTGATGTAATTTTACTATTATATAACACAAAACTTGACCATTCTGTTTATAGTTCTTTGCGTTCATAACATTAGAACAAGTGCTCAATTTACGTGTCAAAGCTTGATAGGAAGCCATAACAGCTGATTTGCTCACTTACTAGTCTAACATATTCTGAGAAATCTACTTCTATTTTTATCACTCTAACGGTTACTAATTCTTATCTGCACAAAATAATTACATGAATTTTTATGGTATAAACACTGAAATTATGACAATCGTATATCTTTGTAAGTGAGCTTGGGGTGAATGAACACCGTTCCTAAGACATGTAGTCTGAACAGGTGTTAACCAGCAGCCCACTGTATACAGACAGTGGTTAGCTTGGTGTATTATATAGCCTAGGCCTGGTAATGATGTATGAATAACACTGATTTCTTTTGTTTCACTGTTAATTAATATGTTTATTCTGCTTTTATATGAAATAAAGATTAAATGAGTGAATTATTACTCGCTTTGCATATAACAACATTACAGTTGAATTTCTGTGTATAAATACCAGTATTTTACAGTCAGTCTTCATATTGCTACAGATACTCAAAAGACAAGCAAGTGGTATATATTTAGTACTTATTTATTATAGTGCTTAATTATTATGTTCATTCTTTTTTCAGATATATATTGTGTGTATATATATAGTGATGTATATATTTTGTGATAATTTAACATTGCATTTTTTTTCAGTGACTTTATTGCATTTTAATTGTCATATTATTGTCTTTGTATTATCATTGTATTTGTCTAGTTTCTCATTTCATCATGTCTGTGTTGATTGCTGGTCATTCTCAGGCTAAGTATTTTTCGCAGTATTTGGATAGGGAGGAGGATGTTAGTGTTGTGTCTCAGAGTGGTGGTAGGAGTTATTTATACAATCCCTTATACCATCCAAGTGGCAACTCAATAATAAGTTTGATTTTGAACAAGAGCAGGAGGAATCACCATTACAAAACATTGTGCTAGTTAAAAGGGAAACTGAAAGTACCAAAAAAGTAGAACCATTAACAGAAAGAGAAAAATACAACAAAGCAATGGAAATTTTGAAAGATATGGCATCATTTTTAGCTACTTGTGGACAGGAAGAATTCATTGAAAAAATAGAACATTTAAAATCTTTAAAAGAATCCTGGGAAAGTAATAAAAAAACTTGTACTGAAATTACAGAAATAATTGAACACTCTAAAGAATCAGAATCACAACCAGATACTCCTTTAATAGAAAAAGATAATTGCATTGAAAGTAAAGTGGATAATGAAGTAAGAAACATAATGAAAATAAATGTTGTAAAACAGCGTAGAGGTAGGCCAAAGGGAAGTAATAAACCATTCTATCATTTCTCAAAAAGAAATAAAAGAAAAGAAATTAAATCAGAAAATATTAATCCAAAAAAAGTTAAGCATTCTCAAAATAATGGAAATTCATCAGAAGAAAAAAATCAATGATTGAAAGAGAACAAATGTTGGATGATACAGTGATATTAGCAGCTCAAAACTTAATGTCAGAACAATTTAATATGAAAGGTTTGCAACCAACTATATTTTCTCAGCATCTGGACAATTTAAAAAATGTAACGGATCCTATGGTACAAATTATGTTTAAAGGTAATAAAAGTGCTGGTCATTGGATTACAGTATCTACCGTTAATTGTAATAAAGATGAGGTAAATTTGTATGACAGTCTTAATAAGAAAGTTTCAATGGAAGTTCAAAAACAAATATGCACCATTCTAAAATCAGAAAATTCCCAAATATCTGTTAATCATGTTCCTGTTCAACAACAATGTGGAGGTGTAGACTGTGGATTATTTGCAATAGCATTTTCTGCAGCAATCTGTTTTGGAGAAGATCCTAAAAATATAATATTTGATCAAAACAAAATGCGTTCTCATCTTGTAAACTGTTTAGAATCAGGAGCTTTCACAATGTTTCCAAATACGCCAAAGTCAAAATCAACAAGAAATTCAAAATATGGAAAATTTAAAATTCAAATTTATTGTAACTGTAGACAACCATATGATGAAGATGTAGACAATATGATAGAATGTACAATTTGCAATGAGTGGTACGATACTAAATGCATTAATCGTAAATCTGTGAAAAAATTCAACAATCCTGATGCTCCATTTTACTGTAGTGAGTTCTGTGAAGCAGATAGAAGACCAGTATAAAATTTTAATAAAAATATAATGAAATCAATAAATAACATTAAATCCAGTTACAAAATTACTTTTTTAAGATAATAAATTAAATAATTCAAATTATAAATTCAATTTTTTTTTGTCACAAATGAAATTCTTAAAAAAAAAAAAAAATAAAATGCATGAAATTTTAGCAAAAACAATTAGATATCTAGCATTCTGATTATCAGTAAATTATTAAATTTCATTCAAATTTTAGTTTAAAATTTAAATATTGGACTCAGGGTAGAACCACGTCCGCGTCGTTGAGTCTGGAAACATTTACATTAATGGCTAAGAGTTCTACATTTTTTCCTTGATTTTTAGCTGGAGGAAACTGTCCTGTCTGGTGTTCATATCACTCTTTACTTAGGGATTATGCCTAAAAATCCCACTTTATGTGACACAATTATATGACGAAAAGGAAAAGAAATTTTAAAATTCAATTCAAAATTAATATAAGTAGAATCTACATCCATGTTTTTGAAACAAGTAATAAGCTATTCATTAGCTGCTATTGCTACATATATACTGTAGATGTAAAAAGACAGATTTTACGTGTCACAGTCAAGCAAGTTTGAACCGTGTCAGAGGGGAAATTTTGTACAAAAATTCAGTCAAAGTTACACGACAAAAATTAATCCAGTAATATCCTCCATTGAACATATTTACTATGAAAATGATTACAACAAATATTCCATCAGTCCAACTATATATTAGAGAGAAAATTCTCCATTATACATTGTTGAACTGTGACACGTAATTTACGTGGCACAAAACCTACAGCTTCAAAAACGATCCTCTATCGCAGAAATCAAGTATTGTCATCGCTATATAAATAAATATCCTCCATTGCACATTAACTATGATAATGATTACAACAAATATTTCATCAGTCGAAGTATATTAGAGAGAAAATTGTTTATTACACATTGTTGAACTGTGACACGTAATTTACGTGGCACAAAAACCAACAGCTTCAAGCAACAAATATGATCCTCTGTCACAGAAATCAAGTATTGTCATCACTATATAAATACATAACTTGACTCATATACATCATATTAACATCGTGCATTACATAAAATGTCACAAAACTTGTTAAATTTATCACGAAACATTATTTAACTCCAATACAAGTAACGTATATCATAATAATGCAGCTAAAAACCCATCGTTTATCCGGATCACGTGACCGGAACCGGAATGAAAAAGCTTAAAAACGAACCAAGATGTCGGCGACTTTTGTACGTAAATTGTAAACAACATTTGAGGTTCTTCTTTTGCTTCTTTAAGATTCTTTTCGTCTTCAATTATTGTGAAAGCCTATCATTATATGTCATCACGATTCATTTACCTAGTATCGCTTGTACTGACAATATACCAATTTCTTATTTACGAACAAGATTGATGACCATTTACTGGAGTTTATGACATTCACGTATTTCGTAACAGTACAAGGGACTTCTAGTATTGTATAATTATAGTTACATCTGTAAAGACAATTAGTTTATGGCATATAGGGTAAATTACGATACGATTGTTAAACCGTAAGAAAACTTTATGCGGTAGTTGAAAATGCAGTTATCATGAGCACATGTTTATTTCGGTTGATATCAATATTTGTTCCCATGTTTCTAGTAAGATAACATGTTCATTTTTTTAATCACTGTTTATTTCATTATCATAAACCATATATATATACATGTAACCTTATCTTAACTTTGTTGTTACAGCTTTTACCTTTTTGGCCTCCACTCATATTAGTGTCATGCAAGACAGTTTTCACTCTTGTCACTTGTTAAAAAAATAACCTTACATTAACTAGTAAATCTTATAGAGCTGTTGTAGAGGTAGTAGTGTTCACAATAACATCCAATACTGTATACTGGTATGTAGAGTGTACTTGACAGTTGAAGAAATTGAAATAAATCAATATTGTAATTGTACATGTGCAGACCTTCGGGAGGAGTCTTTGTCAAACGCTCAGGAGAGCACCACAACTTCTGTCTGCTTCAAGAGTGAGAAGATGTCAGCGAGTTCAAAACTTCAACACTACATGTATATCATTAACATCAGAACGTGGCCATGATTTTGGGGAAATCCGTCCACCATTAGATCTGTTATCCTCAGAGGAAACCATGATGAAAGAATCAGGCAAGTACATCAAGATATTGCAACAATTCTATTTGATGCAGGTCACTTTTCATCTAAGCAATCCTTTGTCTTCTGTTGCTTTTCATCAGTATTTGATAATTGTCATAAGAGAATGATCAACAGTTTTGCCAAATTAAGGAAAATACTCAGAGATAACCGCCATCATTTCCTTTAAGAGCAAAAATAGTCTGTTCTATAGTTATATAAGTGGAAAGTTAGAGATGAATAAGAGGATATTGCTACATCATCATAGTTTTATCTTTTAGTGGCCAAAGTGGCAAAAGAGGTTATCCAACCGCTGGTAAGAAAAATGGACGCTGAGAGTCGGATGGACAAATCTGTTATAGAGACCTTGTTCCAAAACGGGGTAATCACAGTTCTATTACATATATGCACAATAATTCTAACATCTTGAAAGTTTTCGAGGTGTTGGGACTTGTATGTAATACAATGTACTTGTGTTACTTTGTTAGAAAAGTTTGTTGTTATTTTGAATTCATGAACTTGTTGTTATTAACGTGCACAAATAGGACACTATTCTTAACTTTAAACTATGTGTATTTTAAATTTTGTGCCATGTTCAATACAAGTTATTTTGACTTCAGATCGGCTGAACGAAACAAACAGTGCAAAATTCACATTGTTATGATACAAGGTTTAAGATTACTTTAAACACTTAACAACATTGTCAAGCTAATAATTAAAGCTATAATTATGGAAGAACATTTTGTTGCTAATTCTATCGAGTCACAATATATTGGATGAAGATATTACCAAATATGGGCTTATTGCTGGATAAATAAATTATTGTAATTAATGCAGTCAATAAAATTGCTTAAGTCTGTAGATCCTTTTGATTGGTCACTCTGTATAAATGATTAGTAACAAATTGATGATAAATTCTAACAATAGGCCACTGATGATTTATGATTTTGGTTACTAAGTGACGATAAATCATTCTTAATGATCAACATTGTTAAAATGTTTTGATCCATTCCTGGTGATAATCATTAATGCACGTGAATGCTGGTTTCTTAGAGATGAAAAGTCTTAATGACTTATCATCACATGTGATCAGTGATACATGTACCTTCTTTGTTTCATTACTGATAAGTTATATTCTCATTGGTCAGCTGAATTACTGATAAGTTATATTCTCATTGGTCACCTGAATTACTGATAAGTTATATTCTCATTGGTCAGTTGATGGGTGTAGAGATTCCAGCAGAGTATGGCGGTACCAATGGTTCTTTCTTCATGGCTAATCTGGTGATAGAGGAGCTGGCAAAAGTGGATCCATCAGTTAGTGTTATGTGTGATGTACATAATACACTCATCAATTCCCTCCTCCTAAAGCTTGGAACCAAAGAGCAGAAGGACAAATATCTTCCTCGTCTTGCCACAGATATGGTAAGTGTTTCACATATGATATTCTCACTTCATACTGTTCATATTGACACATGCAAACTACTTATCTAACAAGATGTTAGCATAGTTTCAGAAAAAAAAAATTTAGTTTGTTCATTGATTTAAAAGCTTGAGGTATAGATTCTAGAAAAGGAAATGACTTGCTCCCTCCTTTTATGGACAGTAATTGTTAAGTTATTTCATGTAAATAAAAAATTTTGCAGATTGGAAGTTTCTGCTTGTCTGAGACAGAATCTGGATCAGATGCTTTTGCCTTGAAGATGTCAGCGGTCAAACAAGGTGACTGCTATCTTCTGAATGGAACCAAAATTTGGATCACTAATGCTGAAGATGCTGGTGTATTTTTAGTCATGGCAAATGCAAACCCTACAGCTGTAAGTGTACTTTACCAGGTGGTACAGAGGAAACAGTATTTTATACCAATTGTATGTAGTTGTTTCAGGAGTACCATGGTTTTAATTATCAGTAGATGTTTCAGGGCTGTATACATTGCTACAGTAATAAGCAGCTGTGTTAGACTAAAACACAAATTGCTTTGATTGTTATAGATGTTTCAGGACTATAATAAAGTTTGATTTAGTAGTCAGTCAAATGTTTCACAGCTATAAATATTGGTTCAGGATAAGTAGATAGCTCAGGACTATACCAGTAAATCCTATTTTAGTGATAGGAGAATGTTTCAGGGCTACAAAGGAATCACAACATTTCTTGTTGACCGAGACTCACATGGACTTAGTATTGGGAAGAAAGAAGACAAACTTGGAATCCGAGCCTCTAGTACATGTCCTGTACATTTTGATAATGTCAAGGTAACCATTATGCAGAATCTTTCACCTGTGTACTTACTAAATATATAAGGCTATGCTAAATCTTAAGGCAGCTCTCTAAAATAGCATTTTGACAGAAGCAGTAACAAAAGCACCAAATATGAAGGTACCCTGGTAAATGTATTCTTTGTTCCTGACTCAACAGTCATCTATCTACAACTGTGGAAGGTTTTATTGTTCAAATCTAAATTAAATACCATACCACTCTGAAAAATATTCTTATTTTATGTCATATCTGGTTAGATATCATGAAGTCAAAGTGGTCAGAGGAAAGATATACTTACTTGAATTTTTTGTCATCCTAATAGAAATTTTGTTTCATTATCTAATATCCTCTGCCTTACATTTTCAGGTTCCTGCCACAAGTGTGTTGGGAGAAGTGGGATATGGTTATAGATATGCTATAGAGATCCTCAATGAAGGACGGATAGGAATCGGGTCACAGGTTTGTCCTACTTTACTTGGTATATTCACCAGTATAGTATCATCATTTGTACATTGATATGTTACTTACATGTGTTTGAGGGACATTGTGTAAGTTATTCAAATGTTTGTTTGGTTACAGCATCAACATCTTCACAACTCTAAGTTTGTATTGGAGATAGATATGAAGATGGCCAACGGAATCCTGTAGAATCCTGGCAAGAGCTTTCAGGAATAACTGAAATGCAACATTTGTCTAAATATACTGTTATTGAACATTTCAGCCAATCATGCTAATTTGTTATCTCTGACAGAACAAAAACTAAAGTTATAAAATGTCTGATTTTGATTTTACTTAATACTTGCAGATGTTAGGATTAGCAGAAGGCTGTTTCAATGCCACTGTGCCGTACACACAGGAGAGAAAACAGTTTGGCAAACGTATCTGGGATTTTCAGGTATATTTTTCTGAAATCAACAGATTTTTAAATGATTATTGCAGTTTAGACATGCAAGGTACTTAAGTCATGACCTAATTGAACTGTTGGGATGAAACTAAGTGGCACAGGAGAATTTGGGAACATTTCAGTGTTGTTAACTTGTAAAGAGATTTTCTCATGTCTTAAGTAAATTTGTGAAGTTCTGTCTACTGAATCTATGGTAAGGTATCTGAAATAGATTTGAAGTTCTGCGTACAAAATGTATGGTAAGGTATCTGAAATAGGATTGAAGTTCTGCCTACAGATGTATGGTAAGAAATCTGAAATAGGATTGAAGTTCTGCCTACAGAATGTATGGTAAGGTATCTGAAATAGGATTGAAGTTCTGCCTACAGAATGTATGGTAAGAAATCTGACATAGGATTGAAGTTCTGCCTACAGAATGTATGGTAAGAAATCTGACATAGGATTGAAGTTCTGTCTACAGAGTTTGTTTTTTAACTTCCACTGTAGTTAGGTGGTGCTACAGAGTGTTGTTACCATTTTGTGAAAATTTTAGTTCTTAAATTTAAATGACCAAGACTCTAGGGCCAATGACCTGCTATATTATTTTAACACAACCACATAACAAATTACAGTTCTTTATCTTTATCTGTTTAGGAGAAAAATGAGCAAAAATAGAATTATGAAGGAAAGACATACAAGGTTGTGTAATTCCACACATAAGTGTTCAAGTGACTTATCCCATATTTTACCTTGTGTTGAATTTCCTTGTCACACTTACAATAAATTCTGTCTGACTACATCATAGTCAAATACATGTGCCACGTAGACTAACATATAGCCGTTGGAATCACTTATTTTGATAAAAATGTGAGGGAAAATAATGAATAGTTACAGTTGGGTATAAACCATACTGGTTGCGACATCTCCATCCCAATTCATATTAAAATTGTGGGAGTTACACTGGACAGGGGAAATAATAATTTTACACAGAAACAGAAAAGTCATCCATGATTTTGTCATCTATATTGGTAACTATATTTTCCAGGCATTTTTAATGTGAGACAAATGTCTGCAGTATTAAATTTTCCTGAAAGAATTCATAGGTCCTCATTACACAGCATTTCGTGGAGAGGGGATCCAGTTCCAATCGAAACAGTTTGATAACAAAAATTGTTTTTTTTTGCTCAAAATAGGCCATGCAACATCAAATAGCTCATGTGGCCACTCAGATTGAGGCTTGTCGCCTGCTCATTTACAATGCTGCCCGAAAGAAGGAGGCTGGGGAGCCATTTATTAAGGAGGCATGTATGGCCAAATACTATGCATCTGAGGTATGTACTTAATCCAGTTATGAGGCATTTTCTTCCAGCCATTTTCTCATCTTCCATCCAGAGTCCAAGTTTATCACTACTGTGGATTCATTTATTTTCGTTGGGTTCAATTTTCGTTGTTTCTACAAATTAGACAGTTTCGTGGACTCATAAATTCGTGGATTTTTTATTCTCTGGGAAAAAAATAAAAACGTTAGAATTTTCTCTTTTTGCTTCCAGTCGAAATTTTTTCTGTTTGTATTAAGGCTAAGACAAGAATAAAAGAACGTTTTTTTTCAAGATGGCGTCCTGTGTTTTTATAACGCTGTTTACAACAGTCTCGCATTAATATCAAACCACAAATCAGTATATATCCTGGCGTGTAATCAATCGGTAATTATCAGAAACAATTGTTTTCAGTGGATAAACATTGTGTGCTGATCAGTCGGTGTACCGCAGTCATATGAAAACACCACGCGTATCGATTGGACCATGTGTGTAAACAGGTGTGTAAACAAGACCTGCATTATTAATAATTATTGTGAACCTGTAGTCGGATAGAAATACGGATCCAATCTTCAACCGACAGTATGGTCCGATCAAGCCTAGTGTCTACAGTGTCGCTAACGACTGCGATCCCATCATACTTAGCATCACAATGGGTACTTACCCTTTGTTATGTTTAATAATATATAATTATATATCGTTGACACCAATTTAGCGTATCCATGTCGAGCCTCAGACTACCCGACTCCCGACTAATTACGGGGCTTCTGTCATTACCGGTGGACGTTTCCGGTGTCGGCAAAGATTACTTGGTCAAATTCCAAAATTACTTTAGTAAGTAGTTCATATTTCGTTGTGTTTTTAAATTCGTGGATTTGCTCATCCACGAAAACAACGAAAATTGGACCCCCACGAAATAAAATGAATCCACAGTATATCATCTGACAGTGAAACAAAGCAATAGAACCACAGCAGCTGAAAGACAAATTCAAATAAATTTTTTTAATAATACATTTACTCCAAATCAAATATTTTAGCATCCTCATTCTAGTGTCATCATCAAGGTATGTTTTAATGTTGTTCTTTTGACAATAGCTGTGGGGACTTATATATCTTTAAAACAAACAGGTTGCAGCATTGACAACCAACAAGTGTGTGGAGTGGATGGGAGGTGTTGGTTTCACCAAGGACTACCCAGTAGAGAAGTACTACAGAGACTGTAAAATAGGTGAGATCCCTTTATACATACAATGGGTTAGCTCAAAATACCAAGTTGGTTTCATCTCTCTTTTTTTTTATTCCATAGCCAATGAGAAATCTCATCACTGGATCTCTGATTAATTAGATGAAATGCATTTGATTTGTCACTTTAAGATATGCTTCAGTCATAGATGATGAATAAAGCATATTTATAAATCAGTTTTGAAGAATTCCAAGAGAAATATGTATCCTGAAAAAAAGACGATATATAAATATATACATGTAGATATAATTGAATGCTAGTCAAAATGGCAAATGTGTTTTGCCAACATCTTCAGGCCGTATGGCCGTCTTATAGACCTACACCCTGTCGAGTATATATTACTTCACCTTATTTTATAGGAGACTATTTATATAGCTTACAGTTGCACTGTTTTATAACAAAAAACTTAAGTAGGTATTCACTTTCGTACACATACTTATTTACCATTCCTCTTTTACATGATATGATATACTGCCAAGTTTCAAAACAGTATTTTTCCTGTTCTTTATTGTAGGTGCTATTTACGAAGGTACATCCAACATTCAGTTAAACACTATTGCCAAGTGTATAGAATCAGAGGGCATCAAATCATAGTACCAGTATGTCACCTTGATCATTTCAATCAAGTATTTTATGTTTTTGGTGGAAATATGGAGATTGTTTGGTAGCTGAAGTGTTTTCTGATAAAGAAACGTGATATTTGTGTGGTATTTAATAAGACTTTAGATCCAGTTGTCAGGTATAAATCACTTCAGTAAACATGGTACAATTTCCCTATCAATGTCACTCTGATTTGTTTGCAACAGGGATTGAATTTTTGTTTTGGTCTTAAGAACAAACACTTGTGAGCAATTCAATGAACTGTTGAATGGAGACCACTCATGATTTTTCTTGAGTTCCCTTGAACAGAGAGTCTGAAACCACTGACTTTTCTGGTCTGGGTGTGATCATCATCTATTAAGATGTCCCTCTGCATGTTTCTTTCCTTTGCAGTTTCATGATATTTTTGTACCACTGTTGTAACAAAAGACCAGTGAGATGTTGTACTATAGACTGCAAACATCAGCTTTTACTGTTTGGAGATCATATTCCGGGCTAATTGTTAAATGCCACAAGTAATATGTTTTTATTTCCTTTTCCAGTGCTGTATGTCAGGAGATTTATTTCCAAGTAAACCTCAGTTTATCACTAGACTCAAAACGTATGTGACAAAATACTTCAATAATGTCGGGAGTTCACTGATAACAGTGACAATATGGAAGTGAATTAAACAAAACAAAAAATATTGAAGTGAATTAAACAGTGAAAATATTGAAGTAAATTAAACAGCTAGTGAAAATATTGAAGTAAATTAAACAGCCAATGAAAATATTGAAGTGAATTAAACCAACATTGTTTTCTTATTAATAAAATTGAACTTTGAAATTAAGAAAATTACTTATGGCCTGTTACAAAAAAAAATGTGTTGCATAATTATGTGAATGTGTTTTTTGGTAGGAATTAAATGCAATATTTTTAAGGGATTGAAAGTAAACATATTATGATCTGTTTATTACTGAGATGATTTATTACTTCTTTTATCTTGTCATTAAGAGTATTGTAACCTGTACAGAATAACATGTATATAGTATATGTATGAAAAACTAGTTACAGAAAATATCATGGATACTTAATTCAGCGATGTTTACCATTTACATTGCCAATGAGAACAGTTTGAAAAACGTTGAGTCTGGTTTTCGATCTACTTATTCAATTACAATTTGTATATATATACATGTAATACACTTATTGTTATATGAACATGAATATAATATGTGTCTTTTTGCTGTATAGGTTTATAATAATGTACAAAATGTTACCTGTAATTAATGAAATGAAAAACAAATATCAATTTTTGTTTCTATTTACTTTATTCTGTTTCCATTAAGGATGATTTATAAACCTTTTAAGCAAAAAATAAACATAGAACAATGCTAGACCTTTTTGTGCAGCACTTTACCGTCAAGATCAATCATTAATCATTATAAACTGTTTCTTGTCTTTTGTAACTTGTATACATAGCTATAGCCTTTATGTGATTTTATACGTAGGGTGTGTGAAAGAGCTGATAGATTTTTAACAGATTTGAGAATCTCCTTTATGATGCATTAACAATTGATTTGGTTTTGGTTTTTTTGTTTTTTTGCATACAAAGGAAATGAATATGATACTCAAAGATCCTGAAGACATTTTTATGTGTTTGTCGCATCTGAATAAACAATAACTAAATTCTGTACTAATTGTCTCTGTTTCTTCTTTTCTTTGCCATGCATACATGTACTTATAGCATTAATTATAAATATAGCTACAAATGTATATCTTTTTAGCTCACTTGACCTAAAAACGCCTTCTGGAAGGTTATATTGCAGTGTGACATCCATCAGACTTTTCTCTATCAGATTTCTCTGTAAAAGTTTGGTGCATCATGATCACAATAGTTTGCAAGTAGCTTTTGAGTGAACCTTTAAAGCCTTAGTATTGAAAAAGACATGATCAATAATCAAAGTCAGGGGGCCAAATTCATAATCAACCAACTGACCAAAATTCATGTTATTTAGCCAGTAGGGCGTTTGTACTGATCACAAGAGCTTTAACTTTTTGAACAGAAGGGACCTTCAGGTTTGACCCATATTTAAGGTAAATATAAACAAAAAGTCTACCATGTTTTTATCAAATAGATTGTATACTTTTCATTTGTACATCCTATTACAATGCAAGGGTTATATTACACCAAATGTCAATATATAGGTCGTTAAAGGTCACAGGTCAATCAAGTCATCAATATATATCAATCAAAACATTTATGTGATACTACAGATGATTGACAATATTATTCATTTTAAGATTTCAATGTCATAGTTCTCCAGTTGAGCTGACAATATATGCACATCAGTGACTTGTTTATTTTTGGTTTATAGTTACATACCAGGTATAGAAAAAGTCATCTGTACTTAGGAGATTTATTAATTAATTTCCTGGTGTAGACCCTCACAGCAGATTCTGACAGCCTTATGTATACACAGATGATTTCATTTGTGCAATCGGAGAGTTCTCTAAATGCCAAAATTTTCTTAATAAGAGGATTGTTTTGTTTTAGGAACAATGGCAAATCAATCATATACTGTTTCATATAAGCTGTCCTTTGAAAAAGACAAAAATAAATGCAAGTAATGCCAGTAGCTGAGTGCCAACAATTAAGTTTTACAGTTTTTATATAATCACTATCAAAAACAAAAACTGCCCTGTAGGGGATTTAAAAAATGGTAGCACTCAGAGATACACACACACAATTGTTATCGGTAAAATTTCCCTTGGTATAGTCCCTAACAACACATCCTTGCTGTAGCTAGAGAAACACAGAATATAGGCCTGCTCTATGGCCACTATTTTTAGCATACACAACTGTGTGTGAGTGTGGGTTTATGTTTACAAACACGTTGATGAGGACAGCTTTCCAAATAAATTAACCCAAATTGATCCCTTAATTTTCCAGTTATCCTGTTCCAAAGTCCTTTTCACCACACAGGATAGTATAAGGGAGAGTTCTCCGAATTCACCCACCAGCTAAATATTATCAAATGACAACAGTCTATAAGGTGACAGGAACCTGTACATGTGAGGGGGAACAATTAATGACATCTGATAGAAGCCTGTCAATTACCATGGATTGGAGACCGTACATAACCTGTACATGAAGGGTGGGGGGTACAATCAATGACATCTGATAGCAAACTGTCAATTACCATGAATTGGAGACTGTACATAACCTGTACATGTGTGGGGGTACAATCAATGACATCTGATAGGAATCCCTGAGTAATCTTTGATAAACTGAAGCCAGCAGGCTGTTGGTAACCTCTGATAGAAGACTGTCAGATCTTGCATTGTCACAAAGTACAGGAACAAGATGAAACATGACAATTCTAATTTGATTGTTTACTCTATTATACAGGTGAAGGAGGGGTTCAAAAACTGAACACCAAACAGTGTTGTATACAGATTCACTATTATTTTCATTCATATACAAATTCATCTTGTTGAAAACAGATTCATTAAAATTCAGCAAAATAAAAGAATTCAAGGCAAATCATATTTTATTTTGATGTTGGTCAAACATTGTCAATTAAACACATCAATAAACTGTTACTGTACACAAGGAAGTAACAACTTGATACTGAACCAAGAAATGTTAACATATACATTCTTGTACACATAATCTGAAAAAAAATAGACCCTTTAGGCTTCTATAAAAGAATGCAAATCATGCATCTTTACATCATCTTTTGATTAAAGTTTTATCTGGTCCAGGTTACAGGATCTTAATATCTGATTTACTGGATATTTTCCAATAAAACATCAGTTATACGTATATCAAGTGACATTAATCCCACTTCGATACTCGTTCTCGTCGAACCAAATGTCCATCTTCGTTCATGGCATTGTACCGCTTGTTATTGTCTTTTGTGTCTCTATTTCTCATGTATAAAATGTATCCAAAAGCACTGAGAAACAACGTTGCACCCAGGGCCATGGTGAATGTGTTCTAGGGAGAGAAAAAAAGAGGAGAAAATTGATTTAGTACAAAATTACGTTACACATGAACTATGTATAAACTGAACTTATAATTACCTGGTTTCTTGATCATCAACACACCGATGTTTACAACATACTTATGTACCTGTTATATTTACACTGTATAAATTCACAAGGGTCAGACATATCTGACATTTAATTTCAGTCATGAGTGAACACTGGTACACATCATCTTAAACTTCATCATTACTTCAAGAGGTGACACACAGTACCGAATGAAATGTGATTTTGATTAGATTGCCATTCACTCGTGATATAGTCATGATATCATATTATGAGTGTACAGACAAGGGAAGTCTGATATTACACATCCCTGGTAATGACAGGTGAGACAAGAGTATTGTACTGAGAGTAACGTAGATTTTATATTGTACTGACATTGCTTTCTCTTGATTCCTCATTCTACATTGGTCAAAATAACTTTAGAATTTATGTAACATGCTATTTTACCAACCGATTTCAAATGAAATTTATCTTTAATGTATCTTTGATTTTACTATTTCCATTAATTTTTTCTTTGTGATCATTATATATATGTTTTGGCAAAGTTACATCGCAACTAAAAATGACTGGTGAAAGGATATATCACACATTTCTATGCAAAATTTTAATGTAAGAGCTCTTACAGGTTTTGCATATAACTCGAAGTTTACAACACGGAATGCCGAGGTAGTTTTTGTCGAACGAATTCCTGAACCCGGTTCGTGAACATCATTTTTAGGTATAGATTGCTTGTTTGCTGGCTTGTCATTTCCTGGTTTGTTTTGCGACACTTGCTCCTTTAGATCCGACATACTTGAATGTAAATTATAAATAGCTGTTGAAATATTCACGTTCCACCACTACATAATCACAAGTTGTTGACTTCATGCTCGCTCAAGGGCGCAGCCATATTGGAAATTCTAACTATAAAAGAAACCGGACACACGCTCCGGATTTATAAGACATCATGTTCTGAATACAATTGGACAATTATTTCTTACCCCAATCAAAATGTACCTTATAAAAAGAGACCTTATATGTCGCTTTATACAAGTGACGTGATGCCCTTTGTTAAATAATTTCATCTTCCGAAGGCCAGTTTCTCTCGGAAGGCCCGATATCATTATTGGATAGGCAAGAATTCCTGAACCAAGGTATACAACTCTGTGTTCCGAAAGCCCAGTATGATATTATCAATGCTTTGGGGGGAGGTTAACAAATTTAATGTTTGTAACGGTATAAGAAGCAGGAGACCACTGTGGAGATTGTACTTGAAAATAAAATTGTATATTGCTGTGTCATACTTTTTTTCCGAGAATAAGAAATTGGATTGTATTTGAGAAATATTCATCGTTGGGTCCTATAATAAAAGACTGTCTTATCTTCTCAGTTAGGATTCAGCATTTCGAATTTGTAATTTGAGGTGGCCACTCATCCAAATTTCGTCGAAATTTACCTTAGGCTTGTTTTAATGTCATGTCCTTACGCCTTACATATTTATTAAATGAGCCTGTTGTATTTGATTTCCCTCGGGTGGCATCATGAAATAGATCATCTTGCAGCGGTAAAGCTAGGGCTGGAAAGCAGCAGGCCAATCCATCCTTTATTTTATTGACGTTATTCTATCAATGTGTACCTTTACCACTTTGTGGGATGTCTATGGATCTCCGTTTGCTACAATGATGTTGATAACGTTTGCTATCTCCCTAAGCAGGATCGTTTTCTCTTGACCTCTTTAAACGTTTGCTTTGATTTACGTATTGCTTTTGTAAGGTTTTGTGTGTTAGAGGGACTACTGCATAATTTCCAGATCCGTCATGCTTTCTTGCTGGCTTTCGAAGCTTCCTGAACATCCGCGTTAACTGAATTTTTTTCCCTTGGATTTCTTTTAAAAAATCCCTTCTTTAAGCTGTATCCATGGATATTTGTCCTAGCCGCGTGACTTAAGGTTTCTGTGAGGTGATCGATGGTGTTATTCCGAAATTCTGTGGAGGTGAAATCCTGTCTCGTTTCTGTATTTCAGCTGATCACACTTATGCTGGTATTGAGGTAACAGAACGCGGTTGATCCTTGGTATGGAAATTAATGTTAATAGTGGTGAAGATACTTGTGTGGTCTGGGCGTTCCCTACCCTGTAAGTCAATTTGGTCAACTCGTAGATTCAGGATTTGGTTGTAGACTTCATTGTTCATGAGGCTATACTGAATTTCGGCTGTGGATTCAGCATTTGCATGTTTAAATGTGTGTGTCCCGCCCTGCTAGTTGTATACATTTGTAGTCGGTTATCTTCACAGAACTGTTCTAGAATGGCGTCCATGTTATTACTTGGGATTCTCGGAAGTGAAAAGTTCATATCTCCGCAGAGTAATACTGCATGTGTTGCAGTGCATTTGAGTCGAACCACGAGTACCTCATCCAGTATTTCAATGAGACGTTTATTGAGGTTGTTTTCCGTGGAAAGTAGATGTATACTAATGATAAATATTGTAGAATCTGTCTCCAGTTCAATAACCTTTAATCTGTCGCCGCCTTCTTTACGTTGATCGTTTATATGTCCTGTGGAGTATGACAGTGCCTCTATCACCGCGACACTTGCCAGGGGGGTATTGAGTTATTTGTGCCTGCAGATTTTCCAAAGACTTAACGTTTTTAGAAAGATCGTCCATCAGCGGGATCTCAAAGTCATATAAGCAGTATTCCTGCAAACACACTACATCGTGGTTTTTATAGGAGCTCCTCAGCGTACGCCTTCATGCACTTGACTGTTTTTACAATAACAGTAGCTATTTCAATGGGCTTGTTATTAATGTTGCTGTCAGCATCGGTACATTAAGCTCCGTCGATCATCCGTGGGAGGCTGTTGGCACATTTTGTTGTTATCAAGCGCCTGTTCCTTGGTATTCTTCTTGTTAAAAAAGATAGATCGTTCAGATCTTGTTATCTCACTACAATTTGGTGCTGGGGCTTCATTACAGAGATGTCTTGTATCTAGGAGTTGTCAGATTTACGTAGAGGCTTCCCTACAGCCAAATCCAGCAGGCACGAGAGTATCTTAGAAATGCTCTCGTTTGATTGATGCGCGAACTGCACTGTGTGATTGATGTGTGAACTGCACTGTGTGATTGATGAGTGAACTGTACTGTGTGATTGATGTGTGAACTGTACTGTGTGATTGATGTGCGAACTGCACTGTGTGATTGATGTGTGAACTGTACTGTGTGACTGATGTGCGAACTGTAATGTTTGATTGATGTGGGAACTGTACTTATAATTGATGTATGAACTACACTGTGTGATTGATGTGTGAACTGTACTGTGTGATTGATGTGGGAGCTGCACTGTGTGATTGATGTGTGAACTGTACTGTGTGATTGATGTGCGAACTGTAATGTTTGATTGATGCGTGAACTGTATTGTGTGATTGATGTGAGAACTGTACTGTGTGATTGATGTGCGAACTGTACTGTGTGATTGATATGCGAACTGTACCGTGTGATTGATGTGTGAACTGTACCGTGTGATTGATGTGTGAACTGTACTGTGTGATTGATGTGCGAACTGTACTGTGTGATTGATGTGCGAACTGTACCGTGTGATTGATGTGTGAACTGTACCGTGTGATTGATGTGTGAACTGTACTGTGTGATTGATGAGTGAACTGTACTGTGTGATTGATGTGCGAACTGTACTGTGTGATTGATGTGTGAACTGTACTGCGTGACTGATGTGAGAACTGTACTGTGTGATTGATGTGCGAACTGTACCGTGTGATTCATGTGTGAACTGTACTTTGTGATTGATGTGCAAACTGTACTTATAATTGATGTGCGAACTGTATTGTGTGATTGCTGTGTAAACTCCACTGTGTGATTGATGTGCGAACTGTAATGTTTGATTGATGTGGGAACTGTACTTATAATTGATGTGTGAACTACACTGTGTGATTGATGTGTGAACTACACTGTGTGATTGATGTGTGAACTGTATTGTGTGAATGATGTTCGAACTGTGCATAGTGATTGATGTGCGAACTGTAATGTTTGTTATGCGAGGGAGAAAAAATACTAATTCAAAATGAGAATCTGTGGATTCCAGGTGAAATTAAAAACAAACAATCTAGTCCGAGGTCATATGTCGTAAAAGCTACAAATGGTCGTCGTTATCGTCGTAACCGTCGTCATACATGTATCAAACGGACACGTGCACATTTTGAGCCCAAACTCTCTATGCCTGGATATGCCATCGGATCCGCCATAAGCTTCAAAGGAAGTGGAACCACATGTGGTACCGGAACTGTTGTCACCACTACCACCACCTCCACCACAACCCAAGGAACCACCTTTGGTCACCCGTTGTGGAAGAGAGGTCAAGACATCTAGTCGCTTTAAAGACATTTGTTCTAAAGTTTGAGTTTAAAGTTGAAAGTTAAATGAGGAGTTTTATATAAAAAAAAGAAAAAAGACTGGGTTCAAATATTAAGAAATGAGAGAACAAGTTTATTACTAATACTTGATTTCATGTTAAAAGTAATTCTAGTCAGTCTTGTTCGGCTTTTATATAAAAAAAATGGAAGGATGTTATGTATCGTACTAGTGAAACGCTTGTTCCATGCGTTCTGTGTAAAGCGTCTGGATGATCGAGAATAAAATGGTGTCAGAATTTTTAGAACCTGGTCGTAATCCACATGCATCCGACAGTGACAGTCCGTAAAACAGACATTTAGATCACTAACGAAGCAGTATGGATGTGTAAGCAGGCCACACGCCTTATATGGATTGGGATAAATCCGATCTTGTGTTGGCATGGAAAAGTTTCCGCCAACATGTGGAATTCATGTTTTCCGGGCCCCTAGAAGGAAAAAGGAAACCGAGAAGTGTGCGTACTTCATGCTGTGGAAAGGGGAGAAAGGAAGAAATATCTTTTCGACTTGGACCTTAACAGATGAAGGTAAACTCTTGAAAACCTATTATGATCGTTTTGAAGCCTATGTGAAGATGAGGTCCAATGTTATTTACAATCGCTACAAATTTCACAGCAAGCAACAAGCTGACGGAGAGACATTTGAACAGTTTGCTACAGAGTTACAAGTGTTAGTCAAAGCCTGTAACTGTACAAGCGGTGATGAAATGGTGCGCGACAGAATCGTATTTGGTATTAAAAACGCTAAAATAAGGGAAAAGCTAATAAACTTTGGCTCAGATTTGACATTGGCAAAAGCTTTGGAAGTGGCAAGAACTTATGAGATTAGTCAGGCACAATCTGAACCCATGGGCGAAGTGAGACTTGGAAGAAAGTCAAAGTGTTAACATGGTCGGGAAGCACAGACAGAGCACATCGGGTAAGGAGAAACCATTTAAGAAGACAGTAGAAAAAACAAAGACAATTGACGATGATGAGTGAACAAGATGTGGGTATAGCAAGAAACACAAGGTATGCCCAGCACTAGGTCAAACGTGTAAGAAATGTCATCTAAAAGATCACTTCGCAAGAAATGCAGGTCGAAAAAGAAAAAGGTAAACATGTTACAGAAATCTGAAGATTCCAGTGATGATGAGCTCTATGTGGGGTCGATAGTACATGATTGTTACGTCAACACTCTGACAGAATGGACAGACTGTAGATTTTGAAGGTCGCGAGATATACGTTCAGTTAGATACTGGAGCTGTGTGTAACGTTATGAGTTGCAAGAATGTGAAGGCTGTAAACAGGTCGTTAAACATAGAGGCTACCAGCTTTCCTCAGCGTTCTTACTCAGGACACAATGTTATACCTAGAGGGGTTGTGACGTTAAAGTGTAAACACAAAGGACAAATGTATGACCAGGTATTTCATGTCGTTGATGGTAATGTTCAGTCGATTCTTGGAGCGAAAGCCTGTGAAA